ATAAATGACATTTCATATATCCTGTCAAATCAGTGTTTCAATTCTAATTAGCAAAAGTAATGTTCACATATAGTGAGTGTGTGATATTTGCATGACATTAAAATTTTGTTTATGCTGAATTAGCTATTAATGTTTTTTGAACTTGTGTCAGAATAACTAAGATATTGGTAAAAATTATTTAATTAGAGAAGATGGCAATTGAACATGTTCATTATGATGACCTCGTTTATGCTGATGTTACACTGTTATTTTTATAGACATCATGAACACAGATATAATTTGAATGGCATATAATTTTATTAAATTTGTTTTATATGAAAATAAATGTTAGGAAATCATTTTGTTCATTTTCAATTTGACTGTCAAAATTAGGTTATGTTAAAATTTTCAATAAAGATGACAAACAACTTCAGATAAATGTTTTTTTATTCCACCTGACATTCCAGCTTACACCTTTATCAAGGGTCTATGAAAGAAACAGATTACAATACCGATTTTAAATTATAGTAACCAAAAAGAATTACAGCTGCTTTACATATGGTAACTGTAAAAAATCCTGAAACTGTTATAAGTAATTTTAATAATAATAATATAAATGAGTTTACCTTTGGCACTGATTCTGAAGACAGTCATCAGTGCTGCGTGAACCACTGTTAGTTCAGATGGCTCATCTGTTAGCAACAGTTGAGCTAATACATCAGCAATCTTTGGAACAAATTCTATGTTCTCCTTACAAAAACTGGGCAACTCTTTTATGGCCTGCTTTCGTATCTATACAGAATAATACATACACTTAAAAAAGTAATTAAAAAATTTGTTTACATGAACATACAGATCGTTAATCACCCTACAAGAATGATTTGTGTGTGTGTTAATACAGTTGATTACCATTGCAGATGTGAATTGTGTTGCCACAAGAAGCATATTTGGCATCTCTGTATGTGTTAAGTTTATGGATAATTCTCGACCATATGACAGAAAAAATGTTAACACAGGCAGATTTATGGCAATATGGACAGATAAGATATAGCCTTTTCTCAGACATTAGTGCAAGATACTTACTAATGAGAATTTCTAAGCGAGAGTTAAGAAGAGTGTAAAATAATATTTCAACTATTATATCCAGTGCTAATGAAGCCTTTTACCTAATACCAGAGGTTTTCAGGTCATCGGGGATATGAAAGTCATAGTTGTTTGTTACATACAGAACCAAAGATCATAACATTTGAAAGAAGGAAGTTTTTTTTCTGTGTTTGCTGTGGAAGTGGAAAAATGCAAGCACAGCAGGGCATTTAAGACAGCAACAGGTTATGATATCAAACTTAACAATAACATGAAACAAACTTCCCACCTGCAAAGTGAAAGCTATAGTTATGAAAGAAAACCCTTCAACCCAAAAAGCTATTGCAATGAAACTTAGCATATCTCCTAGAAGGCTTAGTAATAAACAAGGATTTAAAGTTCTAGTAGAAGCTTACAAGCTAAAAATTCACAAATTTCCAGTCACATCTTGAAATGAATGGTTCTTTTCAAGAGAAAATTAGAATCCCAAAAATTCCATATAACCACATCCTGCCAAGTCCCACAGTACGTGAACATTGTGATTTTGATCTGCTTAAACATGGTCTTGAAAACCAAAATTTATGCACAGTTACCGAGACTGTAACTAGTTTGTAAAGACATACAACCTAAGATTGAATCACTGTCTTTCACTGGAGCATATTACAATGAAATGTGTGATGTTGAGCTGCAGTGTGTAATCCAGACCATCATACTGAACAAAATCACCAATGAAAATTATTTCCAGGGTAGAAAGGGACCTGGAGGACTGTTTTAATTAAGTATGATTAAATCTCAGTACAACTTAACTTGTACGTACTGTATAATATGTGAATTTCATACAACTTAGTAAGACATACAATAAATGCAATGCTAGGTAATTTTCAGTCAAGTGAAAACCAAGAACCAAAGGGACATTTATATCACTTATTCATCAATACAGCTGTCTTTCCAATTTATATTACTTACCCATCAATACAACTGTCTTAATG